CATGAGTTCCTTGTTTTTCAATGCACTGTAGTATTACATTGTGTGAATATACCACAGCTTCTCTATCCATTCGTTTGTTGATGGGCACTTAGGTTGTTTGCAACTCCTTGCTATTGTGAACAAAGCTGCAATAAATATGGGTGTGTGTATATATCAGCTTGGGTGGCAGTTATGGTCTCTTTGGGGTATATTCCCAGTAGTGGAATTGCTGGGTCAAATGGTATCTCTATTTGCATTTAATAAAAGGAACTTTTATATATGTACCAGCATATTACTGTAATTGCCAACACTTGACCAATTTTATTTCAGCTATTTCTCTCTTACTCATTGCCTCCTTCCCTCCCTGTTATGGATTAAAAATATGTGTTGTCCATCCTAGCCCATAATCCTGGGTTTTGCTATGTTAAAGTGGCAGTGTCAGTGTAGGGCATGTTTTAAGTCTATTATCTTGGAGATATAAAAGAAGCAGGTTAGGGTAGAGAAAGAAGCAGAGAAGTCATATCACATGAACATCACCAAGTAAACAAGGAAAAAGGCCTTTCTTCAGAGCCACCAGAGAGAGAAGGCACCCATACAACCAGAGCCTGAGTTTGGTTTGTAGCCTCCTAAATTGTAGGGAAACAAATTTCTGTTTGTTAAAGCCATCCACTTGTGGTATTTTTGTTATAGCAGCACTACAGAAGTCAGACACTGCCCAGGACTGCTGGATTTCAGCAAACAAAAGCAAGACTATTGTTTCGGGCACATAGGCCAAAGGTTCAGTTAGACAAAGTTGGGCAGGGAAATAAAATAAGCAAAGGCCAGTGTGCCACGAATGCTCTGTGCTTAACCGAGAAGACGTGTGAATTATGTCATTGCTATTTGTCGCTTTCCAATTCTGTCTGCTTGGCTTGTGACTGCAGACAGGAAGTTTCCAGGGAAGAAGGTTGATTACGTTTTCTCTCCATGCAGAGTTTCTTGGAATTCTACCCCTGGTTCTGTCATGCTAGATAATGCACATTCTCTCTTCAGCTAGGGCTTGTCACCTTCTGGGGAGAAGTGTGACTTCAAATTTACTTCTGTTCAACAAACATTCATATGATGTGTAGTATAGGTAACTATGTTGGGCTCGGCTGGTTCTACACCTGGGCAGGAATGTTGTTGTTGCTGTTGTTATGTGCCGTTGAGTTGCTTGCGACTCATAGCAACTTATGTACAACAGCCCTATACCCTGCTCTAACCTGTGCCAACCTTATTGTCTCTGACACACCTACCTACATTACCCCAGTCACAGAATCAATCTATCTCACTGAGGTCTTTAGTTCAGGCTACCCAGAGATGAGGGATCATCTTCATATTCTAAATTCTGTGAGGGGAGCGACTACAAGTATTTGATTAGTGCTCTGACCATTCCTAATTCCTAGGATTTTAAAAGGATTTGATAGTCATGTATTATTCAGTGAATGAGTATTTATCTCCAGTTCTGTAGAGTTCTATAAACTTTTGTTATTCTGGAACACAGGAGTGAAACTACAAAATTGCTGAAAATCATGTGGATGCTGGAGAAAGAAATCAGCAGAAAGAAAAGGGATGACAGTAAAGACAGAAGACACTTTCCTGTGGGGCACCTCCATCCCTGCAGAGAAGGTCTAATGGGTTTGCGATGGGAACCCTAGCCCTGGTTGCCCAGACATGGTTGAGAGGCCATCGTGGCCAGGACTGTTTCAATGCTGTGGTCAACCCTCTCCAGAAAGCCACCAGCCCCGGGGCTGGCAGACACTGCGGGCTAAGCCAGGAGCTGTTCCAGTCTCATCTGCTACCCAGCACAGCTAAAAAGGGCTTTCCCACTGAAGAGGTGTGGTCTGAGGGCTTTCCTGTCCTCCTGAGGCCATTTTCCCTTCACTCTGCAAGTTGTCACTACTCCAGGCCACCCCACCCACAAGTGTTGCTGATCCCTGGTTGACAAGGCAGAAAAGTCTTGACAAGGAGGAGCCCAGCCCTGAGGAAGAACAGGGGAAAAGTGTAAAGAGAGGGCTGGAGAAGTGAGAAGGAAAAAGAAGAGGCAAATAATTGAGAGAAAGAAAGGGACCTACTGGTTCAGCCATATTCTTCTCTGCCCACCCTGAATTTTGGACTTTCCCAGCCCAAGGCCCCTTATCCCTTTACCTGCTCCCTCCTGCCCCAGAGTAAGTTTTATAGACCTGGACTCTGCCAGGGGGTGCTTCCTGAATCCTTTCATCAATGAGATAGTTCAGAGAGCCAATCTGCATCAAAGGTGGTTGAATCCAAGCTAACTTCCCTTTGGGCATGGTGCTCCCCTGGACCCAGTGTTCACGGTGAGGAGGAGGTGTGGTCTGTATTGGCTGAGGCACCACTGTGAGGGAAGAGGGGGAGGGGGAGAAGTTTCCTCACCTCAGCCAGGACCATATACACTGGTGCCAAGCATTCCTAGAGTTGACACCTCTGTGGCTCACTTTAGGGGAGAACAGCATGGCTAGGTGCAGGTCAAGTGTAGAGATTTTGTTCCTGTGCATAGAAAAATCTCTACCTGGGGCCAGGCTTGAGCTTAGAGTGAGACGAAATGTAGCCTCACTGGTGGTTCTCACAAAGTCTGGCTCTCTGTGGCAAACAGAAAGGTTGGAGGTTTGAGTCCACACAGTGGTGCCTCTGGGGAAAGGCATAGGGATCTATTTCCAAAAAAGTTTTTTGCTGTTGTTATTATAACAGTAGAGTCAGAACTTGCCCATAGCTGACCCTCCAGTGGGCTTGCAGAGGCAGTAAATTGCCTATCCTTCTCCCACAGGACCAACTAACTGGTGGATTGAACCGCATGCCTTCTGGTTCAGCTCCTTATTTGAAAACTCGAAGTCACACATTTCAACTCTGTACAACAAGAGATCATGGTCTATGCTATCACTTGTTATGCATCAGAGAGTTGGACAAGGACTAAGGAGGATAGAAGGAGAATTGATGCCTTTGAGCTGTGGTGCTGGAGAAGAGTATTGAGGGTACCATGGACTGCTAGGAAAACAAACAGATTCATCTAGGAAAGGGTTAAACCGAGGCTCCTTGGAGGCAAGGATTCTGAGGCTCCATCTAACATACTTTGGACATGTTGTAAGGAGGGACGGGTCCTTGGAGAGAGACATCATGCTTGGGAGGGTGGAGGGACAGCACAGGAGGGGAAGGCCCTCTATGAGGTGGATTGATTCAGTGAGTGGAGTAATTGGGATGGGTGTATCAGAGACAGTGTGACTGGCACAGGATAGAGAAGAGTTTAGGGCTGTTGTACATAAGGTTGCTATGAGTCGCAAGTGACTCGATGGCACATAACAACAACAACCACAAGAGATCATTAAGAATGGGAATTGATTAGACAGCAGTAGGGTAGATCCTCCTCAAATGCAAATATGCCTAAAGCTCTCAAGGTCTCTCCAGACTTTGTCCAG